AAAAGGGAAGTTCCTCTCGGTTTTATTCTAAGTCTTGCTTTCGGTTTTTACTCTGTCATTTTATGATTTCAGATTCTGTTAAGTTTCCATTTTAGTTTATATGGTATATTGTTAATTCTGATTTCTGGAGTATGCTGAATTTCTGTTGGTGATTATTGAACTGTCATTTGGTTTAATTGAATGGATGAACTCTGTTATTAGTTAATGTTGAGATTCAGATTGGCTATTGAACTTGAACATCATTTTATGAGCTGCTAGAACTATATTAATGTTGTGCATTGTGTCTACATTGGTTAGTGTATTCCCAACAGGAACAATCATACTACTTGTACAATTTTATTTGACAATCTTGATGACAATTCACACTTGACAACATTACATTCATACATTTCAAAAATATTTTTAAAATCAATGGTCCAAATTTTGACAATGGCAAAGTTGTCAACCATAATTGTCAAACATGATTGTACAAATATGTTTATTCATAATGGAAATTGATTCAAGAATATCTTACCTCAAGAGAACTCCCAAGATTATTGCGACGAAACACTTGCACTTCTTCAAATTGAATCTGTATTTCTGTGCAATCGAATAGTCTAGAACACAGTAATAATGTAAGGAGTTCATTTTGTCTCCATTCAAGCCTGTTTTTTGGGAGATTCAATGAGAAATAATCTATAGTCCTTCCAATTTTGGTGCATTTTCTTGCACAAATTTTGCTGATTTATTTTTCCTACTCAGTTTATATGCAATTATGGAGGTTGTTGATAGAGAGTAACAACGAGTTATAATTTGAATTTAAATTCAAATAGTTCGTTGACACATTTTTAAAAAGTTACATGTTATGTTAATCTACTTGAACGATCCATATCTATTTTTCACATACCCAACTTACACATGATAGGCTTGACTCACGAGCTACGTACACCAACTAATATTACATATTTCTCTTGATTTATCATGCAATGTTCATACAGACAAATGAATTTTGAAACCAGCAAATACACTTACAATTGGAAACCATTTCGATCAGTTCTTACAAAATTATAAGTGGAGTATTATCCAAGACCTTACTGTGAAACAAAATTTTGGTTAGGTCAATGTTCCCTTAACTCAATTTGCCACAAATTCATAAAGATCACAAAGATAAAAGCTTCGTGCAATGCAAATTCCTGATTCAGAAAATATAAACTACCCACTAACAATATGCTCGTATTGGATAATAGTTTACAATATAGTGAACAAAATTTTATTCTCTTATTTCCTTAATAATGCCAGTACTGCTTAATACAGTATACCCAACATGCCATAAGAGTATTGTGGTGTAAAAATGCAAGACCGATTAACTGGAGATAACTTGATCAGCTGAGATACTCCTAAAATCAGCACAAATATATACACGCCATCGCGATGTGCAGTGTTGTCCAGTGCTAACTGAAATATGTCCATTGATTATGTATAGTGCTGCGTACTAACATGCAAGGTACTACCAAAGCTTCATGCAAAAGATTTATCTTCCTTCGTTGAGTTTTGAGAGTAGAAACAGGCAGCCCGACGAAAGCAACACTGATGCAGAGAAACAAAGCAGATCAAGAGGGGACTGTATAACTGCTTTCTTGCTCTTTTCGAACAAACCAATAAGAAGAAGCATCACAATAACGTGGCCAAGTTTCGTTTTCAGCTCGTTGACAGTTTTTATTTCCAACCACTGTGGTCGTTCCTGATTCAGAGAAAATAGGATATTAGGTCAGAATGGCTGATAAAGATACATGAAAAGGAAAAGTTAGAAAAGAACTGTTAAACAAGAAAATCAGCAGCACTTACGCTAGTGAGATTGGACGAGATAATTGAATTTTTGCTTCTTTTCGGTGCAAGTTGACAAGCAAGATTTCTATAATAATGGTAAAATTTGTCTTATGTTGATCCGCTGCTTGTTTTCTTTAGTTTATTTACATAAAACTAATTTCAGGTTACATATACAAATGGAAAACTAAAATGTCAGATGAGACAATGCGCACAAATATTATACTACCATAACATCAAATACAAACCTCAAGTTAGTTCATCCTTAGAAAGTGATGTTCGGTATTGTTCATCCAATACAATATCTACTACTCTTATTTGTTATTGGATGATTAACCAATTCCTTAAAATGAAAAGGAAAAAAAGGGACAAAAAACTATTTCTAAAACTCTGAAAAAAGGAATTCTTTAGACCTTGCATGTAATAAAAAGTCTAAAAGAAGGATATATGTTGTAGAAAATGTTTAAGAGTTTCGAACAAACCTTTAGAGTGAATAAGCCAAACAAATTTGATCTGTACGTAGCTGGTCCCTCTGAAACGGATTCCGCTTTATCAAGATTGCTAATGAAGAGCTCATAAAGACCCATGCCAAAAACCAGCATCACAGTCCCCAATAGGTAGACATCTAGGTGATTCAAAATAATAAGCAAATAGTAATATTTCATTGATATTAAGAAATTCAAGCAAATATACTCTCAACCTAATGCTCAGTCAGTGAATGCGCACATCACGCTGCCGCATAGGCTACAGTACTCGAGAAATTTGCAACGCCTTTGTGTGCAGACATATATTTATATTAGAGACTATTAACTTAAAGTTTTTAATTCATTATTTATTCCTTTTTAACATGGTGAGTATGATTCTATTGTCGAAATGGGAATCAGAACGGAGGCCTTCAATATTAAATCCTCAATCCCTCAGTAGTTTCTTGATTAAAATGTTTATTGGACCTCTCTGACTGATGAACTTAAAGTGATCAGAACCTTTCTTTTGAAATAATACTAAATTATGAACTCAATTTTATTTTTATTTTTTTCTCTTTTCCATGTCCATCCAAAAGATTTGCAGATTCCAAATCAAGCTATGTGGCTTTGAAAGTATTTCTCAAATAACCATGCAGGTTAAGAGCATATGGTCAAACCTTTTAACAACCATTGTAAGCACTAATTTGACGCATAAAGAAAATACATCTGAAATTATTTAGTAGTGCTTAGAATTTCATACATGAAGCATACGTCATAACAAAATCCAACGATGATGTATACATCAATTGTTGAGTCAAGGTTCCACCATTCGAGGTAACATTAGGCAATGAATCTCCAATGATAACCTCCCATCGCAAAGTCTTATAAAATAACAAATTGTGCAAGATCCAGATGATTAACAATCTCCAGCTTATCCCTCAAGTATATATATATATGTATATCATGTCCTTATTATGATTTAGTCATAAGTGTAATTTTAGATTCTAGTTATCAATTTCTATTACTTCGCTGGAAGTTAATTGAACAAGACTTTCCAAGTACATGTCTTGAGACTACGTGTTAAAAAAATGTTTTCAAGTGTACAAAATATAAATGGAACTTCCTCTTATGTATATACAAGAGAAAAAATATTCAATTATGTGAAGTGAATAAATGTACCTAAATATATAGTTTATTAACCAAAGGTGGTAAATTTCACCATATTTGACGGGATAATTACCAAATTTTGTAAAAGATTTTCAAAAGGTCACTGAACTTCAAAAGTTTTCCGATAGTTACTGAAGTTTACAAAATGTAATTTCATCCTGGAAATTTCAAAAAATTTCCCATTAGTCACTGGACATGGGATTACATTTTGTAAAGTTCAGCGACTATGGATGGGATTACATTTCGTAAAGTTATAAGAAAACTTTTGAAATTCAGCGACGCTCTAAAAACCTTACACAAAGTTCGGTGAACAATCACGTAATTAATCATTCTTCATGTTTTTCAGTCTTTTTCTTTCTTTCTTTCTTTCATTTTTTAAATGTACTCTTATCCCCAGAATTTTATTCTCTCTAGTATTGCTAAACTTAGAAAGAAGAATAACATTTTATCTCAGAGGCAACCGACAAGATTGTCTGTTAACCTCTCTACGATCAAAGAAAAATAAATAAAAGATTGATAAATTATCTGATTAGTCACTGAACTTTGCATAAAGTTTCCAAGAAGTTCCTGAACTTCAAACGTTTTTTCCACTGAACTTTACAAAATGTAATCACATCCATCATTGGAAACTTTAAAAGTTACCCCATTAATCACTGAACTTTACAAAATATAATTACATCGATCACTGAGTAATATATGGGATTACATTTTGTTAAATTTAGTGACTAATGAGGAAACTTTTGAAGTTCAGTGACCCTCAAGAAACCTTACGTAAAGTTCGGTGACCAATCAGGTAATTATCCCCTTTATTTGACATTTCAAACTTTGGATGGAAGTTCATGATCAGAAGTACAATACTTTAAGAGTACCATCTTTCTATATGAAAGTCATATTATCTGCTGGCAAAGATTACAATTCAATTAGTGCATCTTTTGGAGGTCTAGAGACTTTGAACCTTTAGCCATTCATTTACAGAGTTTAAGTACATTTGTGTTATATTATGGTTCTTTCCTTGTTTGGAAACTGTCCAGCAGTCGACTAGTCATTTCAACTTATCTTTAAGTGAATGCCAGCTAAAAGTATGCATGTGTTGGTGGGTTATATCCTCAATTGTGGTGCTAGTTGGAATAAAGATTGTAACACTGGCTAATAATGGAAACAAGAGCTTGAAGATTTATGGAAATTTAGCTAATGCTCAACTTTATGTTGCTTTAGTAGAAGTAAAAAGAGTTGGGAATATGTCAATAAACTTTATGTTATGTTAATACTAGTGATTGTTTGATCCAGACTTCCAATCTTTAATCATCATACTCTTACATTATTCTCTCAATTCAAGTGAGACTTAAATTCACTTCTTAGTTTACTTCAGTGAAATATAGTGCTGCCAGTCAATGTCATTTTAGACATATTTTAATTCTAGAAAGTCGATAATTGAATAATTCATACTTTCTTAACTTCCCGAGATGTCGAATTGTTAAATTTGAAGGTGCAATGAATCCAATAATGTACCATGTCTTCAACAGATGTAACGTAAAGCCAAAAGGAATAACAGTTTTAAAGGGCTACCATTTGCGTGCTAAAAAGACGTGCATATTTTCATGTATCAAGAACAATAAATGACAAGATAATTACATACATACCAATAGCCTGGACAAGCGAAAAAATAACCTTCCCTCGATCCACAAAATAATCTTGGAACGATGATATAACATGCGTGCAACCCTGTACACGACAGAAAAATTTTGTCAATCATTTCTTGAAATGTCTCGAACAGTTCACGTGAACAAATAATCCTTTTCTGTAATAGCGTAAACAATCAATTATTTATTAGCATTATTAATCAAAATTGTGGCGAAGTCGTCCAACTCCAAGATCTGAGGCTGTTAGAAAGGAGAACTCTTGATTCATTCAATTCTCACAATTGTACACAGATCATTGGTGATGATGACAAGATTTCATCCCAGGTTCTAAGGTTGTTCTGGTATCAGTTCCAGATGTACAAGCAGTCCACCAAAATATACTCGCACCTACACAAACTTGTTTATTTAATTAATTATTGTCAAAATATAGGACTTAAAAGTTTTTGTCATTTTACAGCACAATTCAATACTTAACAACCGTGTAAGATCGCCCCATCACGTAAATAAAGCTCTTATAGAACTGATTAGATTACTCATTATATATTCAACACGTACAAATATCTAATCCACGGGTACTAAGCCCCTGTTTGGTACACATTAAAATTTTCATTCTCATTCTTCTACTCATTTTTAATCACACATTTTTCAATAAAATAATATCTTCCATCACATCAATAACTTTTCCTTCTTTTTCAACCACAAATTCTCTATCAATCTACTATTTCAGAATACATTCTTCCAAAATAATGTGGCTCAAATACACCCTTATGTGTAATATTATTTTATTTNTAAAATTTTCATTCTTATTCTTTTACTCATTTTTAACCACACATTCTTCAATAAGATAATATTTTCCATCATATCAATAACTTTTCCTTCTTTTTCAACCACAAATTCTCCATCAATCTACTATTCCAGAATACATTATTCCAAAATAATGTGGCCCAAACACACCCTAAATCAAATCCTTGTTGATAATAGATTTAAAATATATTGCAACAACAAAATGGAAACACCAACTTAGAGAATGGAAAAAATTCAAGCATGTATTTATGCCTTATATTCAGACCTGATTTTTGAGCTGACCTATTTTTAATCCACGTATGCATTTGACAAGTGAATTGCAACTTTAACCCACTCTCTTCAGGATCTTGCTTTGTAAACCTTGTATTCTTGAATCAATTAAAGCATCCAACTATTTCTCAAACTGGCGGTATTTTTGACATCCAACATGTTTTGTATAGGAGAAAGTTAACGTGTTCCCTAATTCATAATTGAATCTAGCTATGCAAACTCAGAAAGATTACTTCAGCTACCATCTGCATAAGTCATCGTGCTTTTGTGTAAGGTGATCAAAACTATCTAGACACTTCTCGAACAAAATTTCTAAGAAATCATATCTTGTACTTCTTGAACCATTAGAAATTTAGTATCGTTACTGTTGAGGCTTTTAATAACAAAAATACATGTATCAAATAATCCAATACATGAATAGAAAAATTATCTGAACTGGGGAATGCCTAGAGATATTTTTTTAATAACCCAAAGCATTATATTCAAGTCAAATATAATCAGACCAATAAGAAACACAACAAGAAAACAACGTAGACACAAGACTAACATGGAAAACAATCTTCTGGTTTAGAGGGCAAAGCCATGGGACAAATTTGAAAAAAATAACATCACCAAAACAGAGGTTAAAGTTTTCTCCCAAGATTTTTCCATAAATCATGATGTATTACATAAAATAGAGAAGTTTAAGGTTACCTCTTACAAGCTTTCAATCCCAATACAAAAGCAGTCTGAAAATAAATTACTTCCAAGAAGAAACCTTGGACAGATTGCGCCAAGAAGGTGGTTGATATGGCACAGTATAGGAACAGTTAAATTGTTAAAAACAGATAAAAGAGGAAGAGAGAAGAAAGGATTTGGAGAGGGAAATTTCAATACATCAAGATAATTGAAAAAAAAATCCTCTAATATATATCTATAATATATTAAATATCACACTAAGTGATAATCATTTTTTTGGACGATTTTAACCCTATTACAATTCAATTATTTCAATTATACCTTATTTTTCGTTTTTCAGTATGTAATAAATACTACAAAATCATTGTCATGCATAAATTTCGTGTTATTAATTCTCAATTAATTAACATTTACATTAATTTAGACTCCATAAATCTTGATTTGATAAATGTTGGTCTACATGAATCTATAGTTATTATAGACGAATTTATTTCTACTCATGTATCTAAGAATTTTAATGGGTGTTTAAATTCATGTATTAACAATTAATTCTTATGTACCAAACGTAGTATAAAAGGTTGCTCATTTGTAGTATTTCATTATCACAAAAAATTTAAATCATAGAAGTTAGGTTTTGAAAGTTCAATTTTCTTCTCTTAAATTTCAATCCTAAATTTTATTTTCTTTAATCCGTGTTAGACTCGTCAAATCCACCGAATCAATTAGTATCAAATATTACTTTTATAACACTTATAAAGTATTTCAAAATAACGTACAATGCAGGTTCAACTTTGACTAGTACATAAAAAAAATCCCTATTAAGATTGGAGAGCTACCTAACTAATAAAAATGGTTTAGCCTAATATTATGTTAAGAAAATAAATAAGATCCCAGTAATTCTATTAAAATAAATGTTTAATCGTAATGCAAGTGGATATGGCATATTTTCATTGCAACTTTTATCACATGCCTCGTCATTTCTCCTCTACTAAAAGAACACGACTGTGAGAAGCTAGACTGCAACTATTTCCATGGGAATCGTCTTTCCTTTGAGCCAAGTACAAATAAAAACACCCTCATAGATCCCAAATCTGGTAGACAAAATGCCAGTGGCAAGCTTATTCATGAAACCATGTCCACAGCACAACTACATCTGAATCAAAAGTTATAGCCTTTTGAAGTTTAACGACCATTGCTATTTTCATTTGGAATTTTGATGGCACTCTATAAATAACTCGACTGCGTCTTGTTCTATACCAATATTGTCTATATCTAGTATCTACACGATAGTACCATAAATGGAGAAGGGGCAGACGGAAGCACATGAATCATTATCACGAAGCATAGATAGGGAGATTAATTTTCATTGTTTTCTCAAGGGCATTCTCAGTATTATAACTTGTCAGTTGCTTCATGGTGTCAAATACCCATATTTATGGTTGTTTATTTACAGCCACTAGGTGTATATAGGCAAATTGATAGTAAGAATTAAAAGTAACATTAGGTAAAAATTATATTACTATCGTCCCATAAAGATAAGTTGCTTTTATTTTTCACCTGTCCCAAATTATAGGCCACTTTATTTTTGAGAATGTAGGCAATTTTTTAATTTTCTATTTATACCCCCTATTTAATATGTCTTGTTATCAAGGAATACAAATTACCATCAAAGAAAAAGTGCAAGTAAAATTTATATTTCCAACTATATTAATTAAGTTTTCTTAATATGTATAAATATGAAAGTAAGTCCATCTTTGTGAAAGTACTAAATAAAATCATGCTGAATGTTACAAGTTATTTAAAATGCGAGATAACTGCTACCCAACCACCTCTAGAGGTGTCAAGTGTCAACTGGTCCAGGCCAGGCACTACCTGCCATATTTCCCCATGAATATCTACGGACCACATTTATATTGTGTTAATTTATTTTATTTTATTTTTTTAACATTCAAATTTAGTTGAGTTTTTCCGCTGGCACAGGCACCAAGCCAGCACCAGGCTTTTCACGGTCCAGACCACCCTTCCTACCCCGCCGTTTCTCGGCCACTTTGACACCACTAATAACCTCAATAATATCCCTACAACAGCAACTAAATGGTAGAAAAGAAAAACAGGGAATATTTTAGGTCATCAAAGAGAAATTTACCTTGATAAAACAAAGAAAAGATCCAACCAGAGACCCCCAAACAGCAAGAATAGCCAAGAAACGGCACCCATAAATAACCTGCAACAAAGCCTCAAATCAGTTCAATCAATTCAAACATAATTCCCATATCAGATTTTCATTATAATACCTTCTCTATACCCTCTTCAATGTTCTCAATCTTTTCTTGCTGACGCACACCAGAAATAGAATCCGATGCAACAGCACGCAGTAAAGTATGACCAGATGGAGAATACTCCTTTTTAGAGCAAACAATTACAGGAAATTTTGCATTAGAGCGCTCAAATTGATGGACCCATTTGGGTTTCGAAATCAATTCTGGTGTTTTTTTAAGAAATAATTCAGTTGGCCTTCTGGTTAAGGTTTTGGAGAGATTCATGTTGCCAGAAAATATGGGTTTCTTGGAGACAGGAGAGTGGATTTTGTGATGGAAGGTGACTGAGGTGGCAGTTTCAGACAAATATCTTACACAGTTACACAGTCCAAATCAAAGTGGAAAGATAACGGCCACAATAAATATTTTGATTTCTTGAAATTGAGAGGAAAATATTTTCAGTTTTTTTACTTCTAATTTTTGCTACGTACACGTGATGAGCAAATAAGTGGACCTGAAGCAGTTTCGCCGTGTTTATTTTCATACACTTTTTTTTTTTTTTTATCAAAATTTTAAAAGAAGTAAGATGTGGTTTTACAAAAGGGAATTTTTGTTAAAAGACCTGGTCAAACAATGATTTTGGTTAAAAAATCTTATCTCAATGTTTCTTGACCAAATGACATTCAATTATTAAAAACAATAAATAAACAATATAAAATGTCATAAATACCCTCACCATCGGAAAAGACCATAACACCCTTATCA